AAACAGCCACTGGCCAAAAGGATGGCCCAGCACAGAAGATCAACATCATCAGGCCAGGACTCTGCGGTCTACACTCATCTCCAGGCCAGCGGTCACTCTTTCAGGGATGAAAATGTGCACATCCTGGATAGAGAAGAACGATGGTTTGAGAGAGGAGTAAAGGAGGCCATCTTTGTGAAAAGAAACCGTCCATCATTAAACAGGGGTGGAGGCCTACGTGTTCAATTGTCCCCCTCTTACAATGCTGATTGCTAGTATCACTCAGCCCTCTGTGAATAGTACACAGCCATCAGTGTGCTAATGATCCATTGTTAGGCTGATGGTCCTTCTTGAGCATGTGATCAGCTGGTTTTGGTTGTCAGCAGCAAAACTGGTTGATCCACTCTGAGAAGGTGCTATTTAAGAGACTGAGCTGAAAACAGCACCTCAGACTGAAGAAGTCTCTCGGACGAGAGACGAAACGTTACTACATTTTTTGTTGTTTTGCTTTGTTTTGGGGGTTTTTTTTTTTTGAATGTCTAGAGGACCAGATTTAACTTTTTTAGATTGTCATAAGGATATTTTATTACCATACCATACCACTTTATTTATTTATTTAATAGTGTTAATGTTAACCCCACCAAGAATATTTAAAAACACTGAACCATGTGTTCAGCTTTAATGGGTGTACTCCTAAGATTTACAGAGGGAAAAATCGTGAGAATGAATTTTGTGTTCAGCTTTGACTGATTAAACGCGCAGATACTTCATTGCTCCTGACAAACAGGTTACACTGAGTGGAGCGGTCGACCGTTCCAAGATGGCGGCCCTACGGCTTGTCAGCGCCAATAGGCGATAGCTGTCAATGCTGTATCTAGTGTTTATATCTATGTGAGCGACCCCTCATCCAGGAAAAGATGGCGCTTATTTCCACATTAAACTGTTACATTGTTTTACTTTAAAAGTCAGGGGAAGATAACCCCGCTGTGCTCCTGAACCCGGCTGTATTTGTTGTATTTTATTTTATTTTTTTGGTGACAGCTTGGTGCATCTTCACAGAGTTCAACTATAAAACAACATGCGGAACAGACCGAGGTGCGGTTTATTATTCATGCTGCAGAGGAACTAGAACCAATTCCTTCAGTCTCAAAAATTGATTTTTTTTTCTTTCGGCTTCTCCCTTCTTCAGGGCTCGCAACAGCAAGCGAATTCACATGATGATTGTCCCTCCTGACAATAGCCCTCTGTGTGGAGTAGAGCTGCTATGGTTCTTGGGGGCGCAGATGGTGGGGGTTAAGGGCCTTGCTCAAAGGCCCAGAGAGGGGCAAATGAGGGTGGAGGCAGGTGGGCTTCACCCTGATGATTAATGGTCAGAGAATTGGAACCAGTGACCTTCAGATCACAGGCTCGAGTTCTAAATACTCTCTAAATACTAGTTTTTTAGTGGTTTAGGCTGCTGTATTTGTTTTACCATTTTATTAAACATTAGATGTGAACAAACCTGTTTTTAGGATAACACAAAGATACCAGACAATTTAGCACTGAAATGGAAAAACACTGGAATAGCCATCTGCAGCAGTCAACTGTTTTACAGTTAATGTGCATGGGTAAAGTCAGTATTTTGCAATACTTTGTAGACCATTTTCATATCCAATTTTTTTAAAATACACAGTTTAAACAATGTTAATGTCTAACTCGCTCTAGTCATTCAGAACTGCAGCAAAATTGTTCAACGTGCTCATAAAATAAATTAAACCATCATTATCTTTACCTGCTTCATCCTTTTCAGGTCACTGATGCCCATATCCTGCAATCACTGTATGAGAGGCGGGGGACACCCTGGACAGGTCTCCAGTCCATCACAGGGACACAGAGACAAACGAGACAAACAACCATTCGCTCTCACTCACACCTAGGGACAATTTAGAGTTACCAATCAGTCTAACATGCATGTTTTTGGTCTGTGGGAGGAAACTGGAGTACCCTGAGAAAACCCACGCATGCATGGAGAGAACATGCAAACTCCACCCAGAAAGTGGGATTTGATCGGACATCCCTCTCGCTGAGAGGCAACAGCTCTAACCGAGCCACTGTGTCGCCCACACTTCAGTTCATAGTTTTTTTCTCAGTCCAGATTATTACTGCTTTTGATCTGAATAACGTCAGTTTCCGAACTAGACTTTGACATTTAATCACCGGAAGATTGATAAATGTTTAATTATTTATTAAAAGAAATGCATAAACAAAATAGGACATTGGTGTGCTGACCAGGTGCCCCAATTTTTATGAGATCAAAAACTTATATTAAGGCGAGGTGAAAGGATCATATTCATTTCTCCTTCACTACTGCTCTATTTTATCCATTGAATAGGCATTTCAAAATATCTTCAGAAATATTTAATTTCTTACATGCATCTCATATTTACATTTAGGAGAGAGGAAACCTGATCTACTGAGTAAACCCAATCACACTAAACCTTTAACCTTACTCCAGAACAAACTCCTTCACTCTTTTATTAGAACTTTATTAAGACAGTTTATAAAGATAAAAACAATCCGCTTAAAACAGTTTAATCACAGTAATTCATGGGAAATTTAAAACAAAAAAATACTGTTAAAATTTCCAAACACTTGCATATGTTCTCCAGCTCAGTTGAATTATAATTGTCATGTAAGAAAGCAATAAGATCTGAACTCTGTAAAGCTTGTGTACCTTCAACATGTGAAATCCTCTATATGTGCATGTGTGCAATAAACTGCAACCGCTCGATGGAAGAACGTATTGCAGACTGAGGAACTACTATCTTCTACTTCACTCTTGCCAGAACGGGCTGGATAAGATTTTCTGAGAAAATCCCTGAGTGGTTTGCAACGTCCTGATGCTGCATCCAGGTCTCCTCTCTGATCCCCCTCATGAAGCCTTCCAGCTGTGGGACACAAACAAAGACATGCAAGATGCACAGGAAAACATGGCAGTAACGTCCGATTTACATGTATTTAATGAATTAAAGACTGCATCAGTACCATTACCACACCAATAAAAAAGTAACACCCATGTGGATCAGGTCCAAATGAAGCCTCATCTAGACCCAGATTGGCTGTTAATTTTTTTAAATTCTCCTTTTGCATGTTGTCTCAGATTTATGGCAACTGTTGCAAGCTGCCAAAATTATGCATGTGTGGCCAGTGGAAATTATGCTACAGTTATGCCCCTTTTCCATTAGTACCTGTAGTACCAGTACAGCACGGCTCTACTCTACTAAGTACGGAACAGGTTGTTTCCATTATGCTTTCGGACCGGTTCCAGTGGGCGGGGTTCAAATTGACGTCGCAACCTCTCACCAGCTGGTGGCGCTGAGACGCTGAAACTGTTTTCAGTACAACAAAAAAGGTTGAATCATGTCATCTGGACTTCGTTTTTTTTGTTAAAAAGAAACGTTTCGCCCCTCATCCAAGAGGCTTCGTCAGTCTGAGGCCTAGCCATCTGGTATTACCCAGAAGCCACCCTGACTCTTGTGTTTCAAGCCTGCCTCAGATACCCCTGAAGTCTGGCCTTTTCACTAATGGTTTCAAAAACACAAAGTTTGTTTTCTCAGTCATCCAGGTATATAACAACAAAAAA